TAATGCTAAACACCTTTAGCGACACTTACAGCTTTTATTATCCCATTTCTTGTTACTGCAAAATGTGAAGCAGGAGTAGAAGGAAGACCAGATCCCCACCCTAAAAGGGGTGGAAGGAAGGCCAGTTCCCAGTGTAAAGGTACATGCTTGTCCTCCTTGGCCATGATACCTGCAAGGTGGAGCACATTCAGTCCTGCCACAAACTCTGTTTTTAAATAGTATTTGGATGTCTCATTCTTCTGAGTGGAAGCCTATCACAAACACCTAAAGGGCTCTCACACATCATTTAACACTTCACACATGTATGTGAAAAATTGTACATTATGTTAGGGTTTCATGTACAGGCTCTGTGGTTCTTTTTTTAATTTTCCCCTCCTTTTTATTTCTCTATAAACATTCTTGTAAAACCAATGCCTTTAATATCACCATGTGTTTAGCCATGAAAATTGCCAACTTTTGTTGGAAATGCTGCTCATGATTTAACGGTTTGCCAATTATTTCCTTTAATGTTTTAATCCTATGTGGTTCCATAAAATAGTTCTATGCAAGTTTGATTTTTTTCAGACATTTGATCAGTCCAGCCTGCCTGCTAAAAATGATGCTTGACTCATATCCTGGCAACAGTGTTTATTTGACGTGCACTGGTGAAGCACTCTAGAAAACTGTACTCAGGCTATTCCAAATTTAGCCTCCTACATCTGTGTGTGTTTTGGTGTTTGGGTGCGTCTGAGTTATCGGCTGTGTCTAGTGGGTGTCGCAAGCTGATCGCTGCACCTTTGTTGTTTAATTAGAAGTTCAGTGTTCAAGAAGCCTTGAGAGAGAAAATATCTGTGTTCCTTGTGGGCTTTTTTTAGATCTGTTTATCTTGGGTAGCTTTGTGCTATAAGAAAATCCAAGTCGCTTTAGACTGTGTCTATCTTCAGCCAAACTCCAATTACTTTTGTATTTCCATCCAAATAAAACTACTTGCCGTAAGTCCAAACCTATGAAGAATGTGCAGCTGTGAAGTTACATCCATTCCTAGACTCAGAAATGTTAAATAACGGGGCCAAAGTTTTTTCAGAGGGAGGCACACCTGAAGACTAGATGAGGGGAGAGGCTAGCTGCATGCTGGTTTTCACGTGGGCATGCAGGACGGTAAAGAGAGGGATGTCTCATTAAAAGTAGCTGTGCTAAGTTGGCTGAATTGGTCTTTCTGGGCATGATGGGTGTCAAACAGTTTAAGCACCTTGCCAAGGAGTGTCCCAGGATCACAACAGCTGTGGTGGGAATGGAGGCATCAGGCCAAGGTTCCAGCCAAGCCACAGGCCAGGACTGCATGCTGCTTACTGGAAGCTTCCTGCAGTTTCAGTTCAGTGACATGTTTCTCACTCCTACTCCAAGATGTGGAAAGATCTGGGGGCTGGCTGGTTTGTTCTTCAAAAATCTTCTTATTCCTGTTTACAAGAAGTGAGCAAACACGTAAGTGCTCATATAACCAGACACTAAATTCACTTCACTGGCACCTCCTCAGCAACTGCACCACTCAGCCTTCAGAGCCTGTGGTGCTGCATGCCAGTGCTAATTGGGTTTGCTCAGCAGTGGAGGCAGCAAGTGCACAGGTGCTGGCAGTGGGAGAGGGCAGGTGCCTTCACCACCAGCCTTTCACCTTTACAACTGCCTCAGACACCTCAGAGGGCTCCTGTGTGCTGTGTGAGCTGCAGCCACATCGTGGGTGTGGGGTGCAGACATCTGAAGAAGGCTGAGGGCATCTCCTTTCTTACCACATCTGGTAAATTAGGCTGCATTTTCACTGAGCAGAGGCACCCCTGTCCATGCAACGAGGACAAGGCAGCACCCTGTCCCAAGGAGCCTGGTGGGATAATACTGCTCCTTTAGGAGACCAGGCTGTTCCTGTTTTTAATGTATGCAAAGCTGTGAAGGATGATGGGACTGCTAAAATTCCCTTCTGCTGATTCATTCCTACCTGAGACTATTTACCTTCAGGGCTCAACATCAGTCTGGTTCTGGAATGCATCAGATTGTGCCAAAAAAGAAATGATGGGAAAACGGCAGGGTAACTGTAAAAGCGTCCAGTTCTTTTCCCCTGGATCGGGATTAACGAGCAGAGAGATGGCTTTCGTGTTTGGATTTAGGATGTTTATTTTTCTTATCTATATTACATTTTTACACACAGTAAGCACTTCTACACACTAACCTAACAAGCTACATATGGCAACCTAGGGCTCTGTCCACAAGGCCTTTTAAGCATAAACTATCCAATTATAAAATGCCAACTAATTTATTTTTACTTTTAACCCAATAACCAAACACCTGTGTTCCACACTGCGTACTTTTCTGTCCAATAGCCCAATACCATCCAAAACCATGAAGAAAGAAGAAAGGCAAAGACAAACCAACACCCTAGAACCTCCATCTTGTCCCTCATTCACTACTGTATCTCAGACTCTAAACTCTAAATTTTTCACCCAGTGACTTAAAATAATTCTATCTAACTCTCACGTTCACATTCCCAGTTTCTCTGCTTAGTTTTAGAAGTCTTCTCCATGGTCTTAAATTAAACCCAGTGTTTTCTTGAGTGTCACACAGATAAAGGGACATTTGCTGTGCCTGGGGCTCCAACAGGTAACAGCAGGAGATTTTAAACCAAGCTACGTGCTTCCAGTCCTGCCTCTGTGCATGCTCTCCATTTCACATCACAGAAGCAGGGTGACACACAAAAACCTTAGTGCATTCAGAATATTTTTTTCAGGATGAAAGTGTATTTCCAGCCAGCACAGCGAGCTTGGGTTAGCCTGCCAAGAGTTGTTGCATTTTTCTTTAATTACAGCAGCAGCCAATAGGTTTAAATCTGAGAACCAATGAGCAGAATCCCCACCTCTCCTCCCTCTTCACTGATTGTTTGAATCTTTAAGATAAACAGCTTCACAGTGTCTTTGGGACAGTGGGAGAGCCTTTACACACATGCTTATCTCCAGCTAATGCATTGCACTCAGATGGGGTGGTACATGTTTGCCAAGTTTAGTGTGTGCTGAAGTGCTTTCTGGGGTGGAGGCTAGAATGCACTTGGTTCACAACTCTGAAAACATGTGATTGCAGTGAATTTGTCTTGCATCAGAGAGGATTTTTTTTGGAAGGTCTCCTGTTTAAACAAAAATCCATTGGTGTTTCTGAGGCTTCTAGAACAAAGTCACTATAAAAAAATGCAAGTATTTCAATGTTGCACAGATGTAACATTATGTGTTGTATATAGTTTGCAAAGTGTGGGAGACTTTTGGCTGAAAAGTGCTCTGCACATACATAATATCACCATCATCATTATAAATGCATTGAAGGCAGAGAAGCCTAAGCTGATCTATTATGGGCACCTGTCCCTGTATAATTTTCTAACACTGTCTGCCTGGCTGAACTGATGAGATCTCCACTAAATTGGGGTAGCCTGTCATTTTATTCCGATTGAAATGGATTTTCTTGCCTTGAATTCCTGGCAAAGAGAAAACAATCAAAAAATAATGGCTCACAGATAATAAGGTTGCGTGTCGAGCTAGGCATAATGGATACACAGCTGTCAACACTTTTCCTGCACACGTTTACATCGTTTCATTATGAGAGGGACAAGCCCAGGATGAGAGGCAAAACAGGGCCAGGGTGTTTGCCATTTGCCCCCCACCTCCAAAAACACACTTGGGATCCTCCTAATAAAGCTGGTTCTCATAATTTACAACAGCCAGAGAGACGGGCTCCCTGCAGAAGGGTAGGCAAATAGTTTGCCTTCCTTCAGATAAGCAAAACTGATTATGTTCCACTGAAATGATATCTAATAAGGGCTTTTGTATATTTTGGCCCTCAGCATGGCACCACTTCTCCTGCTCTCATCTCTGGAGAGCTCTTAAAGTCCAAGTGACGCATTTTGTAGAGATTTCAAGAAAAATACAGGCATTCTGGACAGCTTTCCTTTTTCAAGGCTACACGGGAAGCTGTAACTCAATACATAATGGCTTGCCTTGGTTGTCAACAGAGTCACACTGGCCCAGGACAAAACTCTGCTTTAGCCCTATCACTCCATCATACTACGGAGGCCAAGGCACACCAACTTCATAGCAAGGAGCAGACAGGAGAGGGATGCTGTCACACCAGGCTGAGTCTGATTCCCCAGAAGGATGAAATAGTGACACTTTCAAGTGGGATGTGCCTGCAGTGTCTTGGTTCTCTGGTTTCAGGGCAAACTACTTCAGCTGCTCTGCCATCTTCTCAATGTTATGTCCTTTTTACTTACCTGATTCAGCCTGATAAATTTATTTTTAGAGTATGAAAATATACCTGAAAGATATGCTTGATTTGTTCCTTCCTTGCTGTGTCTGAGTATGTGCTGCAAAACTGGAAGCAGTGGAGTTAGCAGCAGCTGCCTGCAGCTCATCTGTTGGCAAGGCTGGAGCTGAACTCACATTCTCAAAGTGCCAGAAAGATAGACTTTCAGAAAGGAAATGTCGGGTGAAAGAGCAGGAAAGCAAGTTTGCTTCCAAACAATAAACATGCAGATAGGAAATAATTGAGGCACTGGAACAAGGAGGAGGGAAAACAAAACAAACCATAACAACAGATCCTCAGATGAACTGGTTTTCCTTGTAGTAGGGAAGAAGAAGGGGGAAAAAGGAAGAAAGCAAAACCACCCAGCTTTAGGTAGCTCAGAACTGAGCAGAATGTGATTTTTCACTTTGTGATAAATCCTGAGGAGCTGCTATGTTCAGTGTCATGGTGATAAGCTGGCATCCTGGTAGCTCTGGCAAAACAGATAAAGTCTTTCAGGACCTGTCTGCCTGCTGGCTGACCTGCTGATGAGCCAGGAAACTACTTGCTGTGTCTGGTTTCCTTTAAAACACCAAAAAATTGATCTGTTTCAACAGATCATGTCAGTCTACCAACTCACAGTCTTTCCAGCAGTCTCCTGTCTGATGGGGAGATTTCCAAATGGCTCCACGATGCCAGACAATTACACCTATAAATATTTTTATTATGGGATACCACAGTATCATTCTGTAGAAAGACATAAAGACAAAGAACAGAATAAAAAACAATTTCCTTTACTACTAGACCACATTTAAACTGTGTGCAAATGATATCTCCAGGCCCCGAAGCAGATGGCCTATGGGTCACTTGGGGTCCAAGGAAAGAGAGAAAAAGGATTCTGGAAAGAATTCTGGAAAGGCAAACACACACACAAAATCTAGAGCCAAGCAGGGTAAAGGGACTTTTTTCATAGCTTCATGTGATAATGTACAGATGTAGAAGTACGTGACACTGTTTCTCTACAGCACAAAAAGGATTTATAAAGCACTGAATTTAGGCACCCAGCCTAGCTGGTTTAGTTACCTGGCTTGCCTCCTTGAATTTCCTTAATAGAGGAGCTCTCCTAGAGGCAATTCAGAACAGAAGCCCGACATAGGCTTATTGAATTGCTCCTGGAAGCGAGTTACTCTCCCCCTGTTTTTCCATTGACTCCAGGGGGAACCTGGAGAGCCCAGCTGGCTAGCTTAACCAGCCAAATTGGGTGGCTAAATTTGGGTGGTCTAAACACCTCCACTTCTGCATGAAGCCTGGATTAGGATTGGAGCTTTGTCCTTAACACCTGCATTGCTAGAGAAAAACACTGTTGCTCTTCAACCTTATGTTGCTACGCTTTAGATGAACTGTTTATTTATGTTAGATACTGCTTTTCACTTGTACATAGGATGTGAAAGTGAAAATCTGGTAGTGTGGCGTATTCAAGAATGGGAGGACTGGGAGAAGTTGATAAACAACTCAGAAGCCATCAGAAGTTCACATTCACTTTGGGGCATTGCCTCTGTTGAAGACAGTGTCTTCCTGCTCTCTGAGCGACAGGAGTGAATAATGAACATCAGTGAATATTAGCCCTGAGTGACAGCTCTATGAGCAACGTGGTATTGTTCACTCCTTGTTCATCAGCTTTGTAATGGCATCTGAGTGTGTCTGCTCTCTGTCTGGTTTTTGCAGCCTTCCAAATATGAGCATGCCTCCCCAGCTTCAGCCTGCATTATTGCATTCCAGCATACTCGCTTTGCATGACATACCAGTTACCTTCAAACAAACTTTGGGCTAAGTTTGCACAGACCAATTCAAAGGGTGTCATTTAAAGAAGCTGAACTCTCACCACACATTTATTCAGATGTTTCTTTCAGGCCAGTGAAATAATATGCAGGCAGCCACCTCCTGCATTTCCAAAGCTAGGCTTCAACAGTGCTGGCTCAGACCAGATTAGGAAACTATATTGCAAATTATTCCTTAAAAAAATAAACCAAGTCACTTGTATGTGGTCTCAGGAGCCCAATCCTTACCCCAGTACGATGAGCTGCCTCTCCTGTGAGAGTTTACAGTTTGAACGTGGCAGTGTCTGCAAGCACTTGGTACACAGGAGGAAAAGTGCTGGATCAACCTGGGCCTGTCAGTTCAAGCAGAAACTCTGGAGAATGATGTGGTCCTGCTCTGCAGCATTGTTCCTTCCCCAGATGATGCACAATCACTCAAAGGGTCACATTTTGTAGCCCAGACCTCTAGTCCCTTCCTGAAGAGACAAGAGAGAAATAGATGTTTATTATCAGAGCAGTCCAAGCATGAACCCAATAGGTCAGAGGGTAAATCTTGTTGGCAAAGATGGAACTATCATTTCTAATACTTTTTCAAAGCAGAACCACTAAGAATCTGTGTATATATCTAACTTTTCCATATGATGGGGAAGAGGAGTGGTGTGATGGGAAGAAAGACTGAAATGTTTTCCAGTCTTGATATTACTGCAACTGCACACTGCTTCTTAGAGTTCCTTCCAGCTGAAAAGGCATAAAAGAACCCATATATGTTTGGATTCATGCACAGAAACATCAGAGAAGAAAAAAAAAATTAAATCCAAAATCCCATGCTCCTGTTGCCTGATTTTCACTATGCAGAGCACAGGCTTGGAACCTTATATATATATATATATTATATTGTATATTATATATTCCTCAAATAGGGGTAGGTCTGAAAACATCTGGCCTGGTCACATTGTGCTTGGCAAGGATGAAAGTTAATATATAAACTCTAATAACCAAGATCTACTGATAGGCAAAAAATGCTGAGATTTTGTTGTGTATACTTTGGGAGAAGTAATTACATTTCGTTATATAATCAGTTATACAACAGATTCTCCTCAAAGTAAATGGTAGCTCCATCCATGAAGACTTTTGATGTGTGTTCCAAGAATTTGTAATAAATCAAAGCATAAATAGACTTTTTTTGGTGGCACAGGTTGGATAACTTCCAAGGAAACAAAAGTTCCCTTGGAAAAAAACACAGTTTTTAATCAAACACTTTGTTTTCACTGAAGTTTTACCAAATCAAAGAATTTGGGCCATACATGGGTCTAGGGAGAGTTTTCTTGAGGCCGTTGGTCTTCAGGTCCTGGAATGCCTTGGCCTCATAGCAGCTCACACGTGTACCTGGTCTGCAGCCACATTCCCATGCTGCTGCCAGGGCTGCTAGCACTGGAGTGCTCCTAACACCTGAGTGCTCCTGGCTCCAAGGCTCCCTCATCCAACAGCTCTGCCTTAGGAAAGGGGGGCATCTGGAAGCTGCTTGCAACCACCCTGAGAGAGTAATGTTTCTGAATATTGTGGAGCCAGCAGAGCTTCCAGCTTGATTGCAGAAAATTAAATAAAAGTTGGATTCTCATCAGAATTTAAACAAGTTGAATTAAAATTAGAAATGATCCTGCAAGCCTCTGCGTGGTGTGTGGCATTGTCAGTATTACATGTCTTGATTTTCTCCAGAACTGTAAGCAGTTTTGTCAGCACACCAGGATGAACTATCGGCTGGTTCTCATTCAAGTCAGAGGGGACCATGCCTGATCAAGGAAAGCAGAAAGTAAGCAGGAAGTTAATTATTTGAGCCCATTAGTTCTGTGTAGAGGTAACTTTCTCCTGTCACCACTGAGAAGCTTTTTGTTTACTGTGGTCAGCACCCAAGATCTCACATTTCAGTGCTGCAATGCAGAAATGAGCAATGTAAGAAAGAGATACCAAATCCTCCAGATTTAATCCAAAATCTTGTGTCTTCCTGAAAAGAAAATTCTAAATAACAAAAAAACTTGGAAGTATTTAAAAGAGAGGAGGAAAGAAGTGGGGGGACCTTTCTAAACTTTAGCATGAGTAACATGGCCCATCTTGTGTAACATGGCTGCAGGGGCTGGCCAGCAATAATCTTGATATTTGGTCCTCAAGGCCAACAGTCAGGCAATAGCCAGAAACATTAAGCTGAGGGGTTGGTGGGGAGATTTAGGCCACCTGACTTGACCCCTCAGATTAATGTGCAAGATTTTCATTAATTTTGTTGTGGTTATCCTGACATTCTATTTCCTTTATTACTATGGCCTGAAGTCAGTAATGCACTTGAAAGTACATGTATATCTTTACCATAACTTTGAACTTTTGAGAAGCCCCATTATCCTCAATGAACATATGTGAGTACTTTCCTGGAGACTGGACATGATTTTACTCACTGGTTCAACAAGGGTGGCCAAAAGAAGAGCCTCAAGTTTTATTTTTTTTTTAAATTAAGTAGAGCACAACAATAAAGATTCTGTAAATTATATCCCCCATTAAGCCAATAGAGGCACTCATTTTGATGCAGTCATTATTTCTATTTCATACCTTCAAATTGAAGCAGCAGAGGTTTAAAATCACTTTCAGTGTTTTACATAGCTCCACATGGCGACCCAGTGCAGCTGGAGCTGTAAGACAGAGTTGTATTTAAGGCATTTGCCTTGTTTTGCTTATTTAGCTATGTCACTGCACAAGTTCAGAAGGCCTTTTATCAGGAGATTTTCCATCAGGCTATGGTCCATGGAAGTCTGTCAGGATTTGGTAGGACTGAAAATATAAATTTCATGCAGTGCCTTTTAATGTCAGTCTCAGAGGCAGTGTTTTATGGGTTACCCCCTGCTGTCTGTCCATTTTCAAAAAACCATAGGAAAACCCCATTGTCAGATTCAAGTTTGGATCCTTTTAAATTAATGCAGGAAACTCAATCATTACAAAAATAGCTAATTTAGTAGACATGTTTGTAAACAGGACATTCTCCTTATCTACTGAAGTTGTAAATAAAGCATTTTCTAGCTGAATGACCTCCACAAAATAGGCTACATCTATTTATGCAAAGTTAATTAGGTCATAACATTTGCTTTTTTCTGTTCACAGATTAACAACTTCTTATAAATCAAAACTGAACCTTTGCCTCATTTCCAGTACGCAATTTTTAAAATACTTCTGGTGACTATCATAATTATTTTTTTTAGATTTTGAGATATTATTTTTATTACAATATTTGCAATGGGAAATCTAATCAATTAAATCAGACTGTAGTTTTTTGGGTATCACAGTTTTCCACATAGCAGGTCTCAACTATTCTTTATGCTGAAATACCATTTGAATTTTTAGTGAACCTATGTTAGAGATTTTTCTAAGGATTAAACCCACCACTTTATAAGCATGCATTGTGTAGTTAAGGTCATACTATCAATTTTCATCTGCATGTAAATATATTGATTCAATGGATCCTAAGTCTACAGTAAAAAGACCCATATTAACACATTTTCTTATGACAATTGGAAGCCTGTTCAAGAAAATGCCTTCAAATTCACCAGTTAAATGTATCCACAGATATGAACATTTTTATATGTATAAAAATATATGCCTATGTGTGTATGTGTATATATGTAGCACTGAATAACATTAGAGAAAGTACCAATCATTATGGGGCTGCTCTCGGTGCCAAGAAAATAATTAATGGAGACTTGAAATAATTCTGTAAAATATGCTTACAATAATAATATATGGGCCCGGAAAGGGGCCGCAGTAACATGTTTGGCACAGTGTAAAGCTATTAATTTCTATTTATGTCTCTGCAACAAAGTAATTAAACACATGCATAAATCCCCAGTCACCTGAGTTGAACTTCAAAATATTTATGAGTGCTTTGCATAATGGGCCTGGGACATAAGAGGTCAGAAAGGGCACAATTCTACTACGCAGAAAATACTGATATTTTAACTCTTTTCCATTTTTAAATGGGGCAATAGGATAAAAATATTTTGCAAAAAGGAGCACTCCATAACTATTTTTTATAGCAAAGGTTAACAATTTCAAAGAGATCTAACAGGTAAACCATTATAAAATAAGAATATATGAATTAAAAGAAATCCCTGCAAGATCAATAGAAATGGAAAAAAAACCAGCAAAATATGTTGATGTCCCCCAAATAAATAAAAATGAATTATCCACCTAAATATTTCCTCTTTGCAACACTATAAAACCAAGATAATCCCCATAAACTCTTCCAGTTTCCAAAAAAACCCATATTCCAATTAATTTTGTCTTTGAGCTTTTTGTAAACCAACCAACCTATACTATTTGTAGGTTTAGGCAGGTAAAACAAATCTTGATGTCTATCCTGCCTTCTGCATTTCATTCAGTTTCTACAGTGATGCAGAAATTGATCTTTGTATTTCTTCATACAATAACTAGAGCCTGGGTCGCGTGTTCCATGGTTCCAGGTTATGAAGCAGCAGCTGGGTATCTTCATAATTGAAATTGGGTAAAACCATGCCTAGAAATAATGCACATCATTTTGGGAGTAACTGAATACTGGAAATACATCAGCTCTTTGCAGAGGAAAGCAATGAAAAGATGCACAGTTTGAGCTGGGCAATCAAATGTTCTAAAAATTAGATATATAAAAAAATATGGCTCACCCATTAAAAAAAATTCTCAATTTAAAACCAACCAGGCTTGCTCACAGCTAGATACACATCCTCCTGTTATAATTTATGCTGCAGTAGTTCCTAGAAGCCCCAAGTCCCCATCATGCCACTCACTGCACAGAGTGATCACACATTTACTTATTTATTTATTTTATTTATAGGGCACTAGATTTACCTGCTCCTGAGTGAACAGGTAAAGCACTGATTACTGAGGACGCCACATACATCCAGGCAGCCAGCCACAGAAAGTAATTTCAGCCTCAGCCTTTGTTTTAAATAAACACCTGCATTTTCATATGGAGAAAAGAATTTGTTTCACAATGAGCTGTCACAGCATGTTTGCCTGCTAATGAACCAAAAGCTCTTTGAATTCTCTCTTCCATTCTTCCCACGCTGCAATTTTGCCAGCCCTGACTATCCCTTTTAGTGCTTTTTCTTTTTTTCTTCTTACTTTTTTTTCCTCTTGAACAAAACATTCCTGTTTAGGCCTGCAGTTACTTTGTAATTCCCATTTCATTTACTACAGGGAAAGGCCTTATTTCCATTCACAGAAGAAAGAAACAGATTGTTGCCACTGCTGTGTGCAGACAGGTAGTCCCTATTTTGATGGTATTTCAGTGGAAAAATATATTTGATGGTCCAGACAGGGAGCTCAAGACAAGATTTCTTATGGCTTCCTATCCATCATGGCATAGGATGCTGTGCCAAATACAACCCAACCTAGTCCCACAGGTGGCTGTGCACTCCAAGGCATTACAACCCCAAAGACTTCCAAGGATGAGGCTCTCCTCCAGCATGAGAGTGTCTGGCATGCGTCAAAGCACGCCCTGCTCTCCACACGACTCAACCCCTGCTTCTAGCACTGTAAAACCAGACTCAGCCTCTGCTTTTCTGTGTCATATTGAGCAGTGCTCCAGTGGGACTTTACACAAGAAAGTCTGTTTTCTTTGGGCTCCTGGATCAAGACAAATCCTTTGGCAATTACGGCATTTAACCTTTCTGCTCCCCCAGATGCTCACTGGGGAGAAGCACATATTGAAGAAGTGATGTTATGCAAGCACAAGGTTTTTTTAACCAAGGAAATTTCTCATGGGGCCCATTATATCATATGAGGAAGAACAACTGAGTCATTTTAAGTATAGGAATTTAGCATAAAAATAGCCAAGAAATCCTTAGCTTGAGCATCTGTCCCAAACTCACCCCTCCTTCCTTTCCTTCTGCCTTCCCATCATGCGTGGGCTTTCCCCTGAGCTCATTCAGTGTTTTCCTTGCCTGCATTATACTATTGCATGTGTCCCATCTAAACCTTATTTCATGAAAGGGACTCCAAAGATGCTCCCTTCTTCCCCCAGCTTAGCAGAGGAGAGCCTGCCTGGGCAGCCCACCAGAGTGCTGGGGGTGTGGGGTTAAAAAGGGTCTCTGGCAACGAGGGCTGGGGCATGAGATTGAGAGAACAGCCTGGGCAAGGGAGGAAAAGGAGCTGTGGAGGCTCTCTGCTGTCCAAAGTTGTGGTGATGTGTGAGCACAGAGGTGTAGATATCACCATGGGACATCTTCATGGGGTAACCCCAGTCATCCTCAGCATTTCACTATTGGAAAAGTCTCTTTTAAGCTCCTATTTTCTTCCAAACCCTCCTTCCCTGAGCATGAGGCTCCACAAATCACACTTTTTTTTAGCTACACACAGACAAATAACGTAGAAATAAAATTTTCCGTACTAATATTTGTCAACACTGCTCACAGCACCTTTTCAAGACAAGTACTGAGGGTAGATAAAGGAAGGAGATGGGATGGCTCACCAAACCTCCCCCTCTTCCTGTTCTTTACAGGACTCAGATGGGCTGTCCTTAGGGGGGCTGGCATGCAAGTCCCAGGTGCCTGGGTTTCTTGGAACCAACAAAAGTCCCCTGGAGTGAGGACAGAGTCCCAGTCCTGCCTTGCCTATCAGGGCTAGGCCAGGAAGGTGAAGGACCTGCTGCCTGCAGTCCAAATCCTCAAGCTGGCATGGTGATGCTTCCTGCAACATCCCATCTTCCTCCAGTCTAGGGCCACCAGCATCATCTTCCAAAGCAGCCCTCCTTGGGCCAGCACACAAAACCAAATATGTTTAAGCTGAGGCTGTAGCAAGCATGGCCTTGCTCCTGTAGCGAATACTTCCTCTCAGCAAAGTCACCCTCTGCTTTGTCAGCTGCACCTTGAAATTAGAAGTACTTCCTAAAAAAATAATATAGGGCTATAGCAAGTAAGAATAGCCCAAGCACTGCACATCATATTTGCTATGAGGCTGGACTGCTGTTCCACCATGCTGACTGAGGGATCAGAATAAAACCTGCGTTCATGTTACAGAGATGGGGAGGGAGGTGCTTTTGTCTGGGAGGCAGAGGATGTGGGGCTGTGCTCCTGCTGCACCTTTGCCAGCCCAGTCAGTGAGTTACCCCTGCCCTGCTCTCCCTGGGGTCCTGTCTGACTTCCCCTCCAGTTCCTGAAGGTGGACCTGACACACAGGGATGCCAGAGTGGCTGAGGCTTTGAAACTCCTCTTCTGCATAGGCAAGAAATAAAGGAGAATATTTCTTTTACTCCTTGCCATGAGCCAGACAGAACTAAGGCAGTTTGTAACAGATGAGTTTTAACACGTAAAAAAGAAAATAAGGCAAAACAGATAGATATCTGATAAAAGTTCTCAGCTGGAGGTCTTTTGGACACTTATTTCCCTATTTACGGTACCACATACCTGCTTTACACTTCCATGGACATCAAGCAGCTAATATTAACAGAAAATTGTGTACTATCCCCACAAGAGAGTTAAACCAAGAAATTAAGCAAGAATCTACCTTGCTTTGAATTGTGGCTGAATTTAACTGAAGGATGTCGAAGTCAGATTAAATTTAAAAAAAAACAAAACAAAACAACTGAAAATTCCTTATTTACAACTGCGTATGCACACTTGGGCTAACCAGGATTGAAAGGACCAGAGTGGTTTTCTTTCACCTTGATGAAAGGGAATCAACAGGCCAAAAGACCATTTTAAAGCTGTCTTGAAAGACAAACTTAAAAGAAATACTTTATAACCAGAGGGGAAGGTGGTAGGAGGGGATAGCATTCTCTTCTGTTTATTAAAAACACACCTTAGGCTTGATTCTAATCTGATTCAAGCATCACGTGAGGTGCATTTATTACATGGGAAAATTGCCTCAGTGTGTTCACTGACACAGTTTGGACCCAACCTGCAGAAGCTCCTCTGCATGCAGAGGACACTCCGGTACACAGAGATGAAGTGCGGGGGAGGGAAGAGCAGCCAAGAAATAAAAAGGAAATATCTGGGGGAAAAATAGCAGAAGGTTGCGTGAGCAAGGATATCCTGCTCAGGCAGAGGCAACCAAGAGGGTGGGACCACTGGCTGAGGAAAAGGAGAGTATGAGGAGAAACCAGTGGAGTCTGAATGGTCTTGGAAACACACAATAAAACTGAGCAAATTATAGTCGGCAAAATAAGCTGTGAAACATCCAGCTGTTCCTGAAAATGCTGGAGTCCTGCTGCTGTGAGGTTTCAAGTCTTATAGCCTGGAGGCACAGAAGCCTCAGAACAGGGAACAAGTAGTAAGACTCCGGTCTTCCAGATGGACCAAATATCATCTGCAGATCCCTGGGACTGTGGGACACCCATTTCACAATCCAGGCAACTAGAAAACAACTTAGGGGTGCAGACAGTGAATAAAAGTTTCTGGCAAAGACAGCAATGGGGACTGATGAGCTGAAGCACCTCACCAAGGGTGCAGTGAGAAGAGAAGAGCAGCTTTACACCACAGAATTAACAGGCATTCATTTGGTGAGGGCTTCCTCCATGCAGCCCAATCCTGTCTCCACCTAATTGGAACTGCTGGACTTGACAGCAACATGCCATGCATCAACATGAGATAAGGGAGGCAGTGACGGAGAAACAGCCAGGGTCTCATATAATGAATCTCTGCTCCAAAAGTGTAACTTCTTATTCAAAAATGCTCAGTTTTCTGGGCAATAACCCAGGGCAGTACTTTACCAGAGGTCTGCAGAAAGCAAATCCATCCTTTTCCTTTTCTTTTTCTGCCAAAGGAATTGCAATAGGCTCCCCACATCACAGTCACTCCTCTCTCCTAGAAGAACAGTTGGATAAATCATCACAGAGGTCTCCAGGGTTAAATTCCAACCTCTCAGAGCAGATCAGTTGGTTACCAAAAGACTTCAGCGGGCCCCGGATAGCACTGCAACATGACCAGTAAGTCTGGAATTACTGTCTCAAAACTGAAGTTTACACCAGATCCTATAAAACAGACACACTTCCTTTGGAAAACTCTCCCTACAAACCTCTGGCTGTACGGAAAAGCATGCTTAGCCCAGTCTCATCTTTACTCACAGCTGGAAAGGAGCCTTCTGAACTTTCAGAGTCCTGCCATATGGGACCTAGAGGTGGAGAGACTGAAGTTCTGCCTACAGCAGCTAGAGAAGGAGGGGGATGACACATGTGTGGGGAAAAATATCATAAACGTGTCTTTAATTATTAATATTCACCAAAGCTTGTGAGGGCCCAGTGGGAGTTAGGACCCCAGAGTGCAGAGCACCACACAAGGCTTTTGTCCCTGTAAGAGGATGGGTTACTACATAGAAATCCCTGTGGCAACTAAAGCCATACATGCTCTCAAAGCAACAACATCCCCTCAGTCAGTCACCGAACAGCTCAGTTACCTTGGGCAAGGCACATTGTTATGTGTCTCCTGAAGCCCTGTCTGACACATCAATGGCTGAAGCCCTTGCCAGGGGTGTCCAGCCTGGAAAAAATCTGCCAGGAGCAATATCTTATGCTGCAACATTTGGATTTTACTCCAGTCCCACCCGCTCTGCCTAAGCCTACAACCCTGCAGCACAGCTGGTGCTGAGGAGCACAGCTGCTGCAGGCAGCCCAGTTGCAAGCTGCAGCGTGAGGTGCAGATGGAGCTCTGCCTGGGAGCCCAGATAGACAAGAGGCCGTGACCTGCCAGCCTTTCCCATAAGGAATGGCACAAAGAGCGCTGGCACTGCCGGTGGGTGCGCACTGAGAGACTCGGGAGGAAGAGCGAGACTTGTGAGCTGGTAGATTTGTGAGGGGAGAAAAGCCTGGGGTTCCTTTGCTGGGGATCCTCCTCTGAGGGAGCAGCTCGGGCTGTTTCTGCGTTACTGTGCCCTGAATAAATGGCTTTATGGAATGAGACATCTGACACTGCCATGGGAAACCTGGGATTGACCTGGTGAACTCTATTAAGTGACAGTATTAAGATCAGGCTAGGAGTGATAAGTCCCCTTTTAACACGGCATCATTCTGAAGCTGGCCAAATTGTTCTGGAACTTGGTTATAAAATGCAGATTGTGTTGGATTTATTAATGGTGGGCTTCCTACACTATTATTGCCCATTTTTCAGGATCAAAATTACGTAACATTAATATACTACAAGAAATGCCTCATTCTGGATCACAGAAAGCAATTTCAATAGGTGAAACTATAATGGTAGCAGCATTTTATGACAGTCACTGACATAAAAAACCAACTGCTGTCTACCACCTTCTCAAAGAGACCCTCTGTTTTCCCTGAATTAGGTGTGAAATGTACAGTACATGCCACGTTAGGATATGGGCTTCCTACTTCAGAGATAGAAGTGTGCAGTGAAGCCTGCAGATGACCAAAGCACCATTTAAACTTTGGCAAGCACAGGCATATGCTGAAGATATGGGAGACAGTATCTGGCGACAAGTTCCAGTCGTGTACTTAACTTCTTAAGATGAATTTGGGGCAAATATCTATGCCAAAGCATTGTTCTCACTTCAGAAGCTACATCCACAGAGGAAATCTTGGCAAAGTCAGTTAGGAAGGGCCTCAAGAAGATTTTTGCTTTACCCCCTGTGCTGAGGAGAATTGTAGGTTCTTAGTTGGTGTAGTGGTTGGCTCTGTGACTGAGACAAATGCATATCAGTGTGGAAGAAACCACATATTGACCTTTTATGATACCAGGTTACTTAGAAAGCTGTATGATCCAGGAGGGTAGATTGAGGTTGCAGCAATGGGATTTGCTATTAATTAGATCTTTGGCCACAGCTTAAAGGCTTCATTGTTTCTCTCAGGTCAAACTTTCCTGCTGCTAGTGCCATCAAAGAATTTGTATCTGACTCCATAATTCACTTAAATTTCTTTGGACTATATTGAGCACTACCTGATACTCCTTCCTACAAAAGTTCCTTGCACTGTACAGGGTAATAATGACTTGTTTAACCCTTGCTTATATCTATCTATCTTTATTTCCTATGCATAAAACATCCATTGAAATTCAGACTATTATTTTTTTATTCATAGAAAGCAGCTATCTCATATTTCACATGGACTTCCTTGTGACTGCAAAGACATCCTGGAAGAAAACAAGCAATCCAGGGACACTTGCAACTCAGCTGTCCTTCTCTCTTGCCATAAAAAATGAATGATTGGTTCTGGCTCAGCTAATCTGACTGGCAAGAACAGAGCAGTGCCTTCCAGTCTGCATATCCCATCTCTTATTAGGTACTCCAAATAGCTGCATTTTGTGGGGAAAGATCAACAGTTCCTGCAGCTACTGGAGAAAACTCACTCATGAGCTGTCTACTGCTCCACCAGGAATTGTGGTGGTATATAGTGTGGTGCAAATTCCATGGATTAATATCTGAGCATTTAATGGCAGAACTGCATGAAAAAGTAAAGAAATGTAATAAAAATAATTAAAGAGAAGGAATAATAATTAAAAAGAAATCCATAGAGGGTAGTTCAAATGCACATTACTACATGAGCCAAATGAGTTTTCTTCAGATTCTTCTTCACAGACTCAAATGTGTATTCCCCTTCTGATCAGGAGCAAGTACACCTAACATGATAGCAGGGCTTTATTTTTTTTCAAAAACAGCAAGGTTATGTGACTATAGAAATAGAAATTACAGCTCCACTATGGAAGTATTCATTCTCAAGGCTGCCATTGTCTCTTCACAGTGTTGCAGAAAAGTGGTTGTGCAATGGGAAATGAAGTTGTAAACACTGTGTCAGATGTGGCTTTGACAAAACATCAATTCACTTCAGCTGATTTGATTCACTATCTTAACCTCAGCTGCCATGTCAGATTTGGAATCACAACATGGATGACGAAGGGTTGTCAGTCACTGTTACTATTCTGACAAGGAATATTTAAGACAGAGCTATGAGCTCTTCCCACTGTCCATGGGACAAATGCTTGATTGTGGTTTCCTGAGCTGGGGGATGTAAGAAGTGTGCTTTGAGGTGACCCTGCTCCACAATATCTCCTTGTATAATTTCTGTTTTATAGGGAAGAAATCAAAGCAAAGGTGACTTGCCTGACATTACATGGTGCCAAAAACAGAATCTGGGTGTCCCAAATCCTGGTACAGCAGCAACCTTTTCATTTCATACCAACCTATTTCATCTCCAGCTCAGCAATTCCAGGAGCAAGATTCTGTACTTGGCCTTTATGAGCTACTGGCTCCTTACATTTACTAAAGATGAGAAAAAATGCCATGGTCTAGCCCTGGAAAAACTCAACCTTCCCCACCTCTTGCTACTCTCCTACATTACCAGCATTCACTGGGTTAACAATTTTCAACTAAATTGATTCTCAGCCTCTTAACAATTTATTTTAGCCCTATGATGAGTGAAATTTCACTTTATTGACAACAATTTGCTTTCTTGTTTACGTGTCATTAATCTCTTCAGAACCTCCTCATGGTCTGTGAGGGCTCTGGCAAACATAGACTGAAACCACTTCCCCGGAGATCTGCTTGTCAAGTGATTTTATGCCCTGGTCTTTTACACTGCAACATAAATCCTACAGTAAACATAACACAAACTTTGTATACAAGTGGACCCACTTATTTCCAGAGTTTATTACTTCCTATCTTGTCACATCTTTGCCGCCTTTGATTTACATAATACTTGTCATCCGTAAGGCTTTAGGCGCTTGCTCCGAAATGCTTGTGTCTGCTGCAGGCATTCCTGCTTTCCCAGGACAAAAACCAGAGCCACCCTCTCTCCTCAAACTCCACAACACAGAGAAATGGAGTACTGCCCTCCACTAAGGTCATTGATTAAAAGCCATGCTTCAAAATGGCAAATACCACAGACAGATTATATCTGCTACAGGCTCACATGAACTACAGAGTAGTAACCAGTAAGCAAGATTTCTATGCTGATACCTTAAATGTCTTAAATAAATGCCTTTCTCTTCCTAACACAGGCTGCTGCCAAAGGATGCCTCTGCAGTATTTTACTCAGAGAGGTAGCAAATCTCTGCTTTCACCCATGGCTGAAAAACAACAGGCACATTTGGGAGGAACTGAGCTCCTGGGCATGCTTTGCACCATCATCAATCTCAGCCCTGCACCAACTCCTTGAGCAACCCCAAGAAAAAAGAATCAAACAAACCAACAAAAATTGACCCTTCTTGTGCCGCTGTCTGCATTTCATCTGCAAAGGGAAGAAAATAGCAACTTCTTCTCAATATAAAATGCCTGTCAATCCAGAAGGAGACCTGCAGCTCTACAGATGTTACCACAGACTGATGAACAGCCATCTCTGGCTACCGTCAGTAAAGCAAAACTTCTCTGGGAGAAAAGTCAAAAATAATTGCAACAAACAGAAAATATATTTCAATATAAATATACGATGCATGACAACATTATTACTATTACTATTACTATTACTATTAATATTACTATTACTATTGTTGTTGTTACTGTTGTTACTGTTATTACTATTATTACTATTATTACTATTATTATTATTAACAAAAGCAAACTGTAGTTATTTGATGTTTGGATTTTGATCAAGAAATGATGGAAACTTTGCCTCATTTTTTTGCTCAAGAAAAGAGGGATAATTTTGCTGATTCTCCCCCTCTAAAGACATGTTCATTTTGGAAAAGAGTAGATAAAACTGACAGTCTGCTGAATGCTGAGCCAGAGTCTCATCCCGCTGACATTTCATCTTGAACAGTGGTATTTCCTCTTGTGATAAAATATCAAAGTCTCTCCAGCTTTGAGATCCCAGGCATCAGGTCTGGCTGAGCAGTTGCCAATGAAGCAAGACACCGCTGGCTCATGGTGACCTCCAGTGGGGTATGGACCTGCCCATAACGGAGCAGTGTGTGCCTCTGAGCAAGGTTCCTCTTAGGAGGCACATGCTCCTAATGGCAGCTCCAGCTGGTGGCCCTCTCACTGCAGTGGGGCCTTGGGGGCTCTTCCCAGGGGCAGATAAGGAGAGAAAGGCCTTCTGTCCTTATTAGAAGTCACTTGCAGCACATGGCATGGAAGATGATAAAAGGAAAGAAGTCTTGAAAACGTAAGGCTGAAGTGCAGCCTTGCTTGAGATAAGTGCTTGGATGTCTGGGTCTATTCAAACTGCGCAGTTCTCTTGGGTTTGTGGCAAATGGGCTGTGAAATTTCCAAGGCAATTGCCTGTTATGAGGTTATCACTACTACAGGGAGTGTAGGAAGCAGCTCAAAGTTGTTTTTCCTGACTCCCTATGTGCGCAGAAGTCCAGGAGACAGCTACTGTTTGGTACACCGACTGCCATTAAAAAATGTCTATCCTTTTTGCTCTGCTCCTTTCACTTTTATCCCTCTCCTCAGTTTTGTGCCTTATGCTGACATTTGAACTCCTGTGTGGTGAAAGTGAATGTGCCCCTGCAATCTGGTGGTGCCGTTCATTCACTTTGCACAAGCATAAATTATTTAGCAGTGTTTCAGACAGCAGCAATTGGGTCAACACCATCCACCCTCTCACAAAGACAGTGCTTTTTGCTCTTGTCTTGTTTGCTTAATCTGAAAGGTCACTGCAACTGGAAGCATATGTTTATTCTTTTATATGGGAAATGTAATACTACTTATTTCCTTCCTGAGAAACCAGAATTGCTGGAATAACCCTTTCTTTCACAGCATTGCTGCACTTCTGCTTCTTGTCCTGTCTGGAATCTAGAATTTCAAAAGGGCATAGAATAATGGAAAAATTGTGATGAACATTTCTGGAAAGTAAAAAAGGGAAATATTGATCTGAGTTGGCTGTAAAAGTAAAAATTATTATGCATTTCAAATCAATTCATCTACTTTGCCTGACTTTCTGTTCCCAGGGGCTGTCAGCCAGGACAATCGCTAAGGCTTCCCAGTCAGCTCTTTTGAAAGGATGCATTTTGGTTTTTTATCATCAGCTTTGTCTTATCTGCAAAATGATAAAGAAATTACTCTATATTAACAAAGTGTACGTATACAATTAATCCAACCTTTACTTTTAATTTAAGCTGTCAGAGTTTTGTGGCAGAGCTGAAAGTAGTTCTATAAATTCTGTATTTCTGCAGTTCTTCCCTGTGGATCCCCTCAGCAGCTTTGCCAGAACTGAACCTAAGCTCAGCTGCTAAGGCAGCAAATTGCACAGGTCTGTGGAAAAAAATTTCCTGGTGTGTGTCAAAAAAATACTTTAGTCCATTAAAAAGATGAAAAATCATAAAAAATGGACTTTATTTATATAGTAAATGGCCTTTATTTATGTAGTTCTGCAAACTACACTCTGAATTTCTGAAATATTTTCTGCATAGTTTGAGCTTTAACTTATTTTAGCTCTGAGTCTCCTGTGGGGAATTTCTGGTTATTTTGAGATTTTCTGATGGACAAGAACCTTGGCATTTCCCTGATTTCCACATTAGTCAGTGACCAGGAGTTTCACTCTTTAAAAGCTCTTTGCTTTCTTGAAAATAGAAGGAATATTTGATGCATGTGATACCTGGAGACCAAGGGTGAAACTCTGCACTTAGGAGTCCTCGTGGAACTTTGTTCTTAGTGTTATCCATGTGATCAACAACATTCCTACTCAGAAGTGATGGGTGAAAGGAATGAAAGGCATGAGGAAAAGTCTTTATAAAGAATAAAACAAATAGGTTAAGTTTTGCTCTTTCACATGGCTTCTAGCATGCCAGGAAAAAAAAAACAACCAACCAACCAACCAACCAACCAACCAACTAACCAACCAACCAACCAACCAACCAACCAACCAACCTTCTCTGGTTCTTCAGACATACTCATTTTTGTGTAATGATGATAAATGAAAATATGTTTTATTTTGCTTTTAATCTTATTTTTTTTTTTCAATTAAAAGCTTAAAAAGATAAATTCTTCCAGACAAAGAAATAATTCCTCATTAAAGTACAAGAGAACTCTTGCAGTAGTACTTCAGGTATGCCTGCTGTATTCTTACAGCACAGATTCCTCTTTCCTTTTCTTGTACATCATTTTACTCCACAAGTTATGCCCTGAAAGTGAGCATGAAATGAAGAGCTGGAGGCTAGCTGGGTGGATGGTAACAGCAAAACTAGAACAAGAAGCTCAGGCACCTACAATGCATTGTTAACAGGTTTATTTTAAACTTTGGCAGAAGCAAGTACCTAAGTTCAGTCTGAAGAGGAGTGGCAATGTACTTAGCCACTAAATAAAAACCACTAGATAGATCAGTAACTTGTAAAGATGTTGTCCATGGAACCAAGACTTTCCTTTTCCCTATATTTATTTATTTTCAGCTAGGGAAGTCATTTGGGAGAAAGTTTTTTCTCCCCACTGGAATTATATATCAAAAAAAAATAAAAAAAAATCTGTCTTTATTAATTATTTTTACGTTTCTCTTAATAAAGAGGTTATCTACAATTTCTTCTTTTGTATTTTTCATCTAGAGAAAATCAGTTACAAGCCAGGAAGAGATGACCTTGGAAGTCCATAAATCAATGTGACAGGTGATTCAATCAGCCACATGCCTTCTCTGATTTAAGCAGCTGCTGACTCTCCTGGAGCATGCCGAGTGCAGGTCCCAGTGGCCCCTCCAGTGATGAAGAAAGCAGCAGGTTTGCACTTTTAAAACCACTGAAGCCTGGCTGAGGAAATCACTGACACAAGTGAAATAAGAGGGACTGAATATTTAATTTGCATGATCTGCTGGCACCGCGCACACCTCCACACTGTGCTCTCTCATCCTGCCTGCGCCGTCAGTGTCGCTGCAGAAACCGCAACTTCCGTGGGGATTTCGTTTCTACAAAGTGATACTTCAAGTTCATGACTGCAATTTTTGTGTGCTTCCCAGGCAAGCACTTCATGAGCTTCTGGAGAACTTCAACAAGGGTAGGGGAAATACTGTTTGAACGCAGATGGGGGACGCAAGACTGGACAGGCTGCTGAGTGCCAGCAGGAGACCTTCACCTGGCTGGCCAAATTCTCCTTAAATTCAGGATGGCTCATTATATCAGAATGACTTACTGCTAAGTTTTTATGGCATTGCTTTGGGTTTTTTCAGATGGGTAAAATAAGAGGGCTCAACAGAGTTGCTGGAGTCTAAGCAAAGATACAGTTTATTGCTGCAATAAAAAATTGTATGCTTCATCTACTCTGACAGCCCATATTTTTCTTCTCACTTAAAATTTATTTGCACATTGATATCTCAAAAGACCCTGTAAATTCAACAGTTCACAGTGCTTTCCAAACAATGAAATCTGTCTTCTCAACTTTACTCCTTCAGGACACATAAGGCAACACAAAGAAAGATTCAGGAAGATTTTCTATGAATGCTGAAAAGTCTCACCTTTGAAAGCAAGTTGCCATTATGCTCCTAACTTTGTAAAATCTACTTTGAGTGAGTATTTAACAAGCTTTTGGAACAAGTACGTTTCATACACTTACTTCGAATAAAGTCTCTGAGTCTCAGAACCATTTTTTTTAGTGGAGGATATTGTACAGATTATTCACTGAAAGAAAATGAACACATGGAAGAAAAACCAGAAAACTGTCAACCTTATTTTCATAAAACTTGCAAGATTCACTTGTTTCTTGGGGGGAAAACAGTGCAAAATTTCTGAAATGTATGTGGAAGGATTACTCTAGATCCTGGAACGTAAGATCTCTCAGACTACCTCTGAAGAAAGATCTGTCTAGCCTAGTGTTCTGATTTAAAAATACAGACAGTGGAAGCTCAAACTAAAAGGCACATAAAAACCAACAGATATTTATATAAAGCAAAACTATCCCTCACCTTACCACCTCCTGTCTCACTGCTTAAGCATGTGGCTACCATCTTGATGGAGTGGCAACTGCCTTGCCAGGGCTCTGAATTGCATCAAATTCAAACAATGGGATGGACCACATGCACATTTCACCTAGAAAGAACAGCTAATTTTTCATGGTCTTGCTCCTTTTTGTCCTCTCCTCCACGCACAGTTTTGATCAAAGCTTAATTTGGGAAAGTTTTGTGGCTAGCATTACAAAAAAAAATCAGACTGATTTACAGCAATGCTCCATTTTGTCCTTGAAATGGAAAAGAAAAATGGTGCACAAAAGTTTTGAAGGATGTACTCCCTCACTCTCAGGAGGGAAAATGAGAAAGGCAAGGAAAGGTCTCTAATCCCTTTCTCTTATGAATTACTTTCCTTCTACTCACTGTGTTTTCCATCATCATTATTTTTTCATGGATCTGCTTTCTCCAATATCTTATTGTCATCTTTCCTCCCTCAAATAAGCCCATTAAGCATGTTCAACTTCAAAAGCTAATAGGCAGAAGTGCCAAAAAACCACTGACACAGACATGATCATTAATAAAGAGCAATGGTGAGCATGGTCTTGTCCTTTTTCTCTTTAATTGCAGTGCATCAGCTGTATTAATGTATGTGGCCTAAACTCTATCCCACAGAATAATGCAGATGGAGGGGAGCAGCAGCCCAGTCCTGATTGTTTCAGGCAGGCTTCTTGCTGCCTTCAAATTGTAATTTACTACTGAATCCTCAGCCAGCAGTGGGGAACATGCAGGTATGTAAAGTGAAATACTGAATCAAAGATCAGAACTTCCTTTGGCATAAAACATTCTCAAGTGAAGTACACAGTCATTGCAAGAAATCCCTGAAACTAATTTATCCTCAGGCAGGTTGCATGACTACACTATTTTGTGCTATTTTTACTTAGGTGAGATGACCAAAAGACATGGAAAATATTTATGAAGAGAATATAGACCATGCCTCTCAGATGGAAAGTTAACTTCTGTGAAGACAGGGAGAATTTAAAGCTTGGAGAATAGAGACTGCTGGTTGGATTAGGGAAAAAAATGAGAGAGGAAAGATATGTGGTACATTCAAACTTAAGTCCACCTGAAACATAGACAATAATTCTTGATTATAACATTTAGTAGTTGAAGAACCGAGTAAAGGCTACTTCCTTAGTTGAAGTAAATTAATTTAGTTTTATGAATATGAATAGAGGTTTGCATAAGGCAAGGATAAGGCTTTATATTTTTCTAAGTGTATAATAAATTTGAATATTTTCATTTTAATGCTAACAAATAATTTTGGGGGAGAACTATGGAAAAATTAAAGGAAAAAACATAACCTGGGAGCTTGTGCCAAGGCTCCAGCTGCTCTGAAAATTCTCACTGAATCTACTGTGAAACATCTCTGTCTATAATTTCATCTGTGTCAAGGATTTTCAAAGAAATTTATCACTATATTCCAAAAACTCAGTCCTTTGTCCTGTATTGCTTCACTTCTTGGAATATTTTTGACAAGTTTTCCTCATGAAATAAGTCTGAGAAAATGAGTAAATGAAAAAGAAACACCTTTCTAAGGAGTTAAATCACCAAATTATTCTTAGAACCATGGAGAGGAGAAAGATTAGGTTTTTTTTTTTACAAAGTCCATAAAATATTAATTACAAAAAAATGTATAGTGACTTTATTAGTGTAATGAACTGTCCATGCATGGTATTTTCTCCCTTCTATCTCTATTTTTGTTCTTTTTTTTTTTTATTATTATTTTTCTTTTTTTTTTATCTAGTAAAATCCCCAGTAAGGGAGGGGGCTCTGGTGTACTGTCATGTCACATTGTGGGTCCCCAGCCCACCTGACATAGCTGTTCCTCCTCTGCTGGTCACTGTAGATAATCTCCTGCTCTGCCTGTCCTCCAGGAATTGTGGGGGTAAAGACTAAGGGCAGGCTTTTCAAAGAGGTAACACTTTGCAAATACTTTCTCATTTCAAAGAGGTGACATTTTACAAAGGCTTTTTTTTTTCTCTCAGGCTCCAATTTTTGCACTCCAAAGGTGCAAATTATTGCCCTTCATTAAGACGACCCCAGAACTGCTTAGAAGTAGTTGCTTGACTTTTTACACTTCATAAAAGTGCTCTACTTTAGGATAGGCTTATATTTATTGCAGAAATGCTGCAAATGCAATAATTCAAGCAAACACAATTTAGACACTTAAGGCCAATACATTATATATTCATACCCACTCCACTCAACAAGACTTCACTGGACTCTTTCCCCACTCTACACATCAGAAGACCAAACTTTGGCCTACATTTTTTGTCTGAAACGTATCTTTCACCAAGATAAAGGCAGCAGACAGAAGTGCAAGATGGGAACAACATATGCCCCTTCATTTGTGAATGTAAAAGTCTTGTTCTGTGGACTGGTAAGTCTGATAGATTTTTTTTTTTTCCTAAGTAAAAAATTAATTAACTCTTCCATTATGTGAAAGAAAAATATCTTTATCTCATTGTCAAAAGCAAATACTTCCAGACATTTGATCCTGACTCTTACAGCAAGGTGTGCATGGAAAGCAGGAATGGTTTTCTATCCAAAAATTCCTAAGGCACCTTGAGGATTATGTTTTCCATTCTTGGTCTTTGCTCAAAAGTACAAGCACAGCTCTGTCAGCTCATAAACAGTGTAATAAAGACGAAAAAGAGACAATGGCCTTGCAAATTAATCCAACCATGCTGGAAGAAGAAACAACTGGTTTTTAACTTGACTTGGGTTTAATCCTCATTAATATCTTATTTGGTTTGGATGTAGTAAGAGGCAGGAGGAGAGGAACAAGGAAAGTGCTGGGGAGATTCTGATCCATTAGAGGTGGGAAAGTTCATTTTTGAAGGGTGATATTTTGAGCATCAGTAGATAGCAGATAACAAAACCTGCTTTTCAGAATTGGATGAGAAATGTTAACAGTAATTCCACTCTTTTGCATGACATGCCCAAAGATTTATATTTATATGTATATTTACATGTATATTATTTCTATTTCTATTTCTATTTCTATTTCTATTTCTATTTCTATTTCTATTTCTATTTCTATTTCTATTTCTATTTCTATTTCTATTTATATTTATATTTATATTTATATTTATATTTATATTTATATTTATATTTTTCTGTTTAAAAACTCATTTGGAATACTTTTAAAACTTTTGTTTCACTCCTTTAACAAATTATGAGACAATAAATGAGACAAATAATGGCAGCAAAGGTCATCTCTGAAAGCTCAGATGGTCAGGAAATGCAGTGATTTCTTCAATCATGTTGAGGCTTTTGGAAGTGGGCATAAATTATTTCAATACAATCATTGTCAAACATCCCACACTTCTAATATTCAGAGCATTATTTTGGAACCCTTTAGGTTCTCAGTTCAATTTTATCAGCCTAATATCAGTCTGAGAAACCTTGGTCTGTAGCAGTATTAGTTTTTTAATCCTCTAGACATCTCTGAGAGATGGATGGTCATGCACAAGGTCTTTTGGTTTTAGGGAGAAGCAGAGTAGGGACAGAACATAAATCAATCTGCTTATGGGCAGGTGGCTATTCAGAGCAGTCCACAGGCCTTGTCTCATGGATCTGGTGCCAGGTAAGGGACTTCCTGGTCTTACTCCATAACATCACACTTCTAAACTCAAGCATGCTTGGGTTGGGATCAGGAACTACAAGAATGAACCATACTGCAAAAGATTTAAAGGAGTTTATTCCAGCCCTTCTCTGAGCTGCAGCTGGTGTTGGAAAACAAATGTGTGCATGTAAGATGAGGAAGGATAATGTGGGAAGAGCCAGCTGGGATCAGCTATGACAGAAGGGAACAGTTTAGACCAATATAACTTCTAAACAAAAAGTCTGAGCTGGTAAAGACAGGAGAAGAATATGCATCTCCCTGACATTTATTTCCAGAGGCTTGGGTGATACATGTCATATCTTGTTTCTCCCAGCTTACCACCTGAGTTTCCTATTCAGTTCTTAAGATAACCCTCAAATGTTAAATCTTCTCTTCTAGTTTTCTGCACAATCTTTACCTTGTTTTCACCAGTAGCATCCAAAGGAGGTCTAAAAATGGTGACACAGAGCTTAAGAAAGGAGGGAGGAGACAATATGTGTGACAATTTACATGTGGAAAATAGTACACAGTGTTCATCAGCTGCAATTTGAACCAGGTCTCTGGAGTTTTTGAACCAGCCTAATAAACTGGGGCCAGGTCCTGACCAAATCTGGGCTGAATTTCAAGTGATGTCACTCCCTCTCCATGAACTTCACACAAAGTTTACACATTATTTCAGTATAGTTTGGATAGATACCATGAATGTGTGAGCAGATGGATTTTATTTTCTTTCTAAGTTCAAACATTTCTTAATGCATTTAAGTTATGCATGGTCCAAAGTGAATGCCAGCCCATGAGCCTCAAACTCAGGTTTTATGCAAGAAATGGTGCAACACTTATTACTGTGATATTTGGGTGGCAGTTTTTTTATGGTACAAAACACAAATGGTGCTTAGAATAGTCTTCCACACTTATACAGTGACAATCATGAAAAGGTCCCTGTTTACTAATAGTTGTAAGGGTTACCATGAGTCTTTTGTACCTGAATAAATGGGAGGAGATGACACATGAGA